TTTTTTAAACAAGTCTCTATTTGAAGTTAGGTACCACTATTCTGATCTGGGTTCAGTGGCTAACCAGTTTTAATTACCATCCCTTTTACACCATCATTGTAAATGTCAATACAGTGGAAAAAAAATATTTAAGAGTTTCTGCAAACTTGGTTTTGTCCTTGTAGGTCCTCTGAGGTCTTGGGGATCCCCAGGGGGCTAGAGATCACACTTTGAGAACACTGCTCTATGGTGACAGCACAACTGAAATAAACCTAGAGTGGTAAAGGCTTCATATATCAACTAATCTAACCACTCAAGATAAGACTAGACTGGACTGGCCACAGTGGCTCACACCTGTAATCCCAGCGCTTTGGGAAGCTGAGGCGGGCAGATCACTTGAGCTTAGGAATTCAAGTCCAGCCTGGGCGATCTGGCAAAACCCCATCTCTATAAAAGATACAAAAATGGGTTGGGCATGGTGGTGTGTACCTGTTGTCCCAGCTACTTGGGAGGCTGAGGTGGGAGGAGGCTGAGGCTGTAGTGAGCCAAGATAGTGCCACTGCACTCCAGCGTAGGTGACAGAGCAAGATCCTGTCTCAAGAAATAAGGGAGAAGGATGAAGCCTAGAGATGTCTTTTGAGCTCCAGGGAAATGACTCAAATCAGATCACAGCCTATACAGCTAGTGCTTGACTTACGACCACGATTGGTTCTGACAGACTGGTCATAACACGATTTGGTCGTAAGTTGAGTAGGCTATATGTACAGTACTGTGAAATGATGTTATAAAAATCTTTAAGTCATATTTTATCATAATTTTCTTTCATTGTTATATATCATAATTTTCTTTGTTCATTTTATGCCATTTGTATCATCTCTACACCATTTTGTTTCTTATTTTCACATTCGTCAAGTTTAAGTAAAACACTGCATTGCCAGTACAACTGGTTTAATATTTGCAAAACATACAAAATTACAAAATACAGGTGCATAAAAAAATACAAAATACAGGTGTAAAAAATACGATAGGAAACATTTTCCCAATTGCAAAACATATCAAAATATATAAACATGTATGAAACATTTTATTGGCCGCTGGTGCTTGGCTGTTGATCGTTGATGTTGTCATCTGAGGCAGCAGTTGGAGTTACCGGAGTTGGTTTTTTCATAAACATGCTGAGTTTTGTCTGAATTGTATGTTTCTTTTTTTCTTCATAAATTTCACGATATGGACGAAACACATCATGCGCCATCTGTTCAATCCTTGCAAATCGTTCGATGTTTGGGTCCATTGCTTCGAAATGTATTAAGAAGTTTATTCAGTAAAGATAAACCGTCTGATAATCCCTTATTGGTGAACTTTCTTTCTGGCTCCTCCTCTTCTTTCTCTGCTTCTCCTCTTTCTTCTTCCGCCACTCTTTCTTCTTCCAGTTCGATTAGCTCTTCATTTGTAAGTTCTCTGGATTCTTTGTCTAGCAACTCTTCGACATCTTCCATTTCACACTCCAAAGAAATGTCTTTAGTGTGTTTTACTATTTTTTCCCAAATCGTTTCAAGTTCATGTTCACTGTCAAATCCGTCAAAATCATTAACATAGCGCTTAACACAATTTTTCCAGATGCCATTCATGCACTTTGTTGTCACAGCCTCCCAGGCGGTAGCGATATTCTTGATACACATCAAAATGTTGTCGTGTTTCCAAAAATCTCGCAATGTTAGTTCTGAGTCAGCATCTACAGCGGATATTGCTTGAGTGAAGGTGGTTCGGAGATAGTTGGCCTTTAATGTAGCAATCGAACCTTGGCCCATAGGCTGGATGAGTGAGTCGTGTTTGGTGGAAGAAAAACAAATTTTACATCTGGATGGAGATCGCCTAGATGTGGTGGGTGTCCAGGTGCATTATCAAGTAGCAATAAAATCTTGAAAGGAATATCTTTCTCCAAACAATATTTTTGAACTGGAAGAATAAAACAGTTCATAAAGCAGTCTTCAAACAATCCTTGTGTCATCCATGCTTTACGTTGAGAACGAAAGTAGACGGGCAGTGTGTGCTTGTTAACATTCTTGAACGCACGCGGGTTGTCTGAGTGATAAATTAAGAACGGCTTCAGCTTAAACCCTGCGATGTTCCCGCTAAGCAGCAGAGTTAGCCTATCCTTAAATGCTTTAAATCCCGGCATGCTTTTGACCTCTTTGTGAATATAAGTGCGTGCTGTCATCCATTTCCAAAATAATCCAGTTTCATCAACACTGAAAATCTGTTCTGCTAGATATCCCTCATCTGTAATTAATTCATCCAGACTATCAACAAACTTATGTGCTCCTTCCTCACCCGCACTCGCTGCTTCTCCAGTCACTTGAACACTATGCATTTGGAATCTTTTCTTGAATCTCTGGAACCAGCCAGTGCTTGCTACAAATTCTTGACTGTAATCTTCTCCAGCAAGCTCCTTCAGAGTCTGAAATAGACTTCTCGCCTTCATCTGCACAGTAAAGAGACTTAATGGTGTCTGTTTTTTAATTTGATCTTCCATCCAAATATATAGCAATTTCTCCATTTCGTGGATGGGCCTGCTTCGTTGCTTTGTCATAACTGTTGATCGCATGGGTGCAGAACCTTTCACAGCTTCACGAATTCTTTCTTTATCTTTCAAAATCATCAACACAGTCGAGTGTGATAACTTCGTATCACGTGCGATCACATTCACTTTCTTTCCTCCTTCGTACTGCTTAATTACCTTCATTTTCGTGTCGAGATCGATGGCCTTTCATTCCTTCTTGGCAGGCTGAGGCGTAGACAAAGACAATTTCCTCTTGGTAGACATCTTGGGAGGGGTTTGATGAAAAATATCCAAGACACAAAACACAAATTGCTGTACCGAGTCTGGGATAACAGTTGAAATGGTGCACATGGAGATGGTAGTGCTGCTGGAAGCTGGTCCGCACTGTCGTACGCCCAGCTGGGCAACGTTTGCGCTGCCAGACGCGGAGCAGTCGTGGCTAGCGATTGTGGTCGTAAAGTCGAATGGTCGTAAGTTGCATAGGTCGTAAGTCGATCAATACCTGTAATCCCTAGCTCTAATCTTTTCTTGACCCTATTATCCTCTCCCTTTCCTCAGAAAGATAGTCTATGCACAGACCAATTTAGGTTTCAAATATTTCAAATCTAGAAACCAAATTAGCCCTAGAACTGATTCACACAGGTCCAGGTCTATTTCTGGCCACCATCAGGCCAGAGCTGGGCTAGAACTAAACTGTTCACCAAGAGTATAAGGAAAAATGACATTTCTTAAAGTGAAGTTTAAATCAGAGTTTGATTTCCTAACTGTCTATATTCAAGCTACCTATGGAGAAGCTGAGGCCCAGGAACATTAACTAATTTGTCAAAGTTGACATGATAAAATGATCACAGGCAAGGAATAGTCGCCACCAGTGTTCCAAGCCAGATGAACACTAATATTACCAGTTTAGGTCTATACTGTGCTCAAAGACTTCCTTTATAAAATATTGTTGTCTATTTCTGATCACCACTTACATCTGAAACCAAAGTAGTCAAAAACAGCTGTTGAACGCTGAATAAGCATTTTATATTTTAAAATTAAAGTGAGCTTAATTTTAAAATTATAGACCAGGCAAATATCGCAGAATGCAAATATTCTGGTTCTGAGAACTGAAAAAAAAATTTTTTTTTAGACAAGGTCTGTTGCCAAGACTGGAGTGCAATGGTGTGATGATAGCTCACTGCAGCCTCAACCTCCTGGGCTCAAGCAATCCTCTCGCCTCAGCCTCCAAAGTGGCTGGAAATATAAGCATGTGCCATCACATCCAACTAATTTTTTGAAGAGAGGGCGTTGCTATGTTGCTCAGGCTGGTCTCAAACTCTTGGCCTCAATCATTCCTCCTACTTCAGTCTCCCAAAGTGCTGGGATTATGGAGATGAGCCACTTGGACTGATCGAGAATTAATAATTTAAAACAAAGATCAACAATGTACTACCCAAGGCCAAATTGAGGCCTTTGCATGTTTTTGTAAATAAAGTTTTACTGGAATATAGCCACACCCATTCTCATTACATATTGCCTACAACTGTTTTCATGTTACAATGGCAGAGCTAAGTAATTACACTGCAAAGCCTAAAATATTTATTCTTTGGACCTTTTCAGAACAAGTTTGCTGACCCCTGATTTAGAGGACAGATGAAAACTCAGAAATGAAATAAATTCTCTATTTTGTTCTCTGGTTTCTTTTCTTACCCAGCTGCAGAAACTGACCAAGAAACCTTCCTCTTTCCCGAGTACACTGGTAAGGTACTTTTCCCCCCAATGTTACCCTTGCTCCAGGTTCCAAAAGAGGGCTCTATTTATCTTAAGCAATCTCTTAAGCTATTTACCAGAGAAATATATATAAAAGGGTATGAAGATAACTGCAGATTTCTGTAGAGTGGCTCCAGAGCATAATACCTAAGCACATCTATTCTCCATAAAGAGAGCACAGAAACAAAAACAGGGAAGGGCAGTGACGTACCTTTTGCCCCAATAAAAAACACTCTTGGGCCAGGTATGGTAGCTCAAGCCTATAATCCCAGCACTTTGGGAGACTGAGGTGGGTGGATCACAAGGTCAGGAGATCAAGACCATCCTAGCCAACATGGTGAAACCCCGTCTCTCCTAAAAATACAAAAACTAGCTGGGTGTGGTGGTGGGCACCTGTAATCCCAGCTACTGGGGTGGCTGGGGCCAGAGAATCACTTGAACCAGGAAGTCGGAGGTTGCAGTGAGCTGAGATTGCGCCACTGCACTCCAGCCTGGCAACAGAGCGAGACTCTGTCTTGAAAAAAACAAAAACAGAAAACCATTCTTTAACAGAATAAATTTCAAATACTTTCATTATTACCCTACATTACTGATAGTCACATTTGTTTAGAACTTGAGTTTTCACAGTTTCTTCAAGCCTATTAGCCTATTACTGTATTCCCCCCAACAACTTTGTGAGACAGAGTTTATAAAAAAACTGAAGTTGGAAAGAACCTGCTTATAGTCACATAGCCAGGGGAAGTGCACCTGAACGCAAACCCCGGTCCTCTCTTCCTGGTCAACCCCTCATAACCTAACAAGATCTTTTAAATCAATGTTCCCTAATTTTTTTCCCACCACCACACCATATACACAGGAATCTTATTCCTATTAGTAGTATTTCTTATTACTAGTAGTGAATCTCTAAGAAAAGAGGAGGAAAACTCACTACCAGTAATAAGTAAACCAGTAATTCAGCTTCACCTCCCAGATGTAGGTAGTAATACAGTCTGGAGGGGGAAACCCTATGCATTCTCACGTCTTCTCCCCATTTTCTCATCGTGCTCTCCATCACCTTTGATCTTTCTTTTAATGGTCTAGGAGTCACTGATTTCACAGTGTATGCTAGCTGACTATTGAAACTTATTTTTTGCATAAACAACATGCACTTACCAATGTCCTTCCGAATCCTATAGAGAAGAAGATGTCCTTGTTTGGTTCCCACAAGAAGCCATTCCTCTGGAAAAGAAAATAGGTTTGAGAAAGGTCAATCAGCTTGAGTACAACACTCTTTTTTTTTTTTTTTTGCGACGTAATTTCCCTCTTGCTCCCCAGGCTGGAGTGCAATGGCACGATCTCGGCACACCACAACCTCTGTCTCCTGGGTTCAGGCAATTCTCCTGCCTCAGCCTCCTGAGTAGCTGGGATTACAGGCACGCGCCACCAAGCCCAGCTAATGTTTTTTGTATTTTTAGTAGAGACAGGGTTTCACCATGTTGACCAGGATGGTCTCGATCTCTTGACCTTGTGATCCACCCGCCTTGGCCTCCCAAGGTGCTGGGATTACAGGCTTGAGCCACCGCGCCCGGCCGACACTTTCTTTAGTTGGGACTTGTAATCAGAAAACAATGTGTCAAGAAAACGAGTTGCTTTTGATAGTAGGTATTTTGCAAAGCTAAGGAATGTTTGTTTTTTTTTCCTTTTAGAAATGATTTTTTAAAATTATACTTTAAGTTCTAGGGTATATGTGCGGATCGTGTAGAATTGTTACATTAAGTATACACATGACATAGTGGTTTGCTGCATACAGCCCCGTGTCATCTACAATAGGTATTTCTCCTAATGTTATCCCTCCCCAATCCTCCCAGCCCCTGCTATCCTTCCACTACCCCCACACATCACCCAACAGGCCCCAGCGTGTGATGCTCCTTCCCTGTGTCCATGTGTTCTCATTGTTCAACACCCACTTATGAGTGAGAACATGCAGTGTTTGGTTTTCTGTTCTTGTGTCAGTTTACTGAAAACAATGGTTTCCAGCTTCATCCATGTCCCTGCAAAGAACATAAACTCATCCTTTTTTATGGCTGCATAGTATTTCATGGTATATATGTGCCACATTTTCTTTATCCAGTCTATAATTGATGGGCATTTGGGTTGGTTCCAAGTCTTTGCTATTGTAAACAGTGCCGCAGTGAACATACACGTGTATGTGTCTTTACAATAGAACGATTTCTAATCCTTTGGGTATAAACCCAGTAATAGGATTGTTGGGTCACATGGTATTTCTATTTCTAGATCCTTGAGGAATCACCACACTGTCTTCCATAGTGGCTGAAGTAATTTATACTCCCACCAACAGTTTAAAAGTGTTCCTATTTCTCCACATCCTCTCCAGCATCTGTTGTCTCCAGATTTTGTAATGATCGCCACTCTAACTGGCGTGAGATGTTATCTCAATTGGCTTTGATTTGCATTTCTCTAATGACAGTGATAATGAGCTTTTTCCATATGTTTGCTGGCTGCATAAATGTCTTCTTTTGAAAACTGTCTGTTCATATCCTTCGCCCACTTTTTGATGGGGTTGTTTTTTCCTTGTAAATTTGTTTAAATTCTTTTTAGATTCTGGATATTAGCCCTTTGTCTGATGGGTAGATTACAAAATTTTTTTTCCCATTCTGTTGGTTGCTAGTTTACTCTCATGATAGTTTATTTTGCTGTGCAGAAGCTCTTACATTTAATTAGATCCCATTTGTCTATTTTGGTTTTTGTTGTCACTGCTTCTGGTGTTTAGTGATGAAGTCCTTGTCTATGCCTATGTCATGAATGGTGTTGTCTAGGTTTTTTTCTAGGGTTTTTATGGTGTTCGGTCTTATGTTTAAATCTTAGTCCATTTGGAGTTAATTTTTGTATAAGGTGTAAGGGGTCTAGTTTCAGCTTTCTGCACATGGCTAGCCGGTTTTCCCAACACCATTTATTAAACAGGGAATCCTTTCCCCATTGTTGGTTTTTGCCCGGTTTGTCAAAGATCAGATGGTTGTAGATGTGTGGTGTTACTTCCGAGGCCTCTGTTCTGTTCCATTGGTCTATATCTCTGTTTTGGTACCAGTACCATGCTGTTTTGATTACTGTAGGCTTGTTTCTTTCTTTCTTTCTTTTTTGTTTTTTTTTAAAGATGGGGTTTTACCATGTTGGTCAGGCTGGTCTTGAACTCCTGACCTCAGGTGATCTGCCCACCTTGGCCTCCAAAGAGCTTGGATTACAGGTGTGAGCCACCAGGCCCAGCCCCTTAATTTTTTTTATTTTTATTTTTTTTCCTTGTAGCCTTGTAATATAGTTTGAAGTCAGGTAGTGAAATGCCTCCAGCTTTGTTTTTTTTGCTTAGGATTTTCTTGGCTATGCGGGCTCTTGTTTTGGTTCCCTATGAAGTTTAGGGTGGTTTTTTTCCAGTTCTGTGAAGTAGGTCAATGGTAGCTTGATGGGGATAGCACTGAATCTATATATCATTTTGGGCAGTATGGCCATTTTCATGATATTGATTCTAACTAATCATGAGTGTGGAATGTTTTTCCAGCAGTTTGTTTCCTCTCATTTCCTTGAGCAGTGGTTTGTAGTTCTCCTTGAGGAGGTCCTTCACATCCCTTGTTAGTTGTATTCCTAGGTATTTTCTTTGTAGCAATTGTGAATGGGAGTTTGCTCACGATTTGGCTCTCTGTTATTGGTATATAGGAATCCTTGTGATTTTTAATTTTTTTATACCACCTTCTCATCTGTCTGTGAGACTGTGATTTCTGCACATTGATTTTGTATCCTGAGACCTTGTTGACGTTGCTTATTACCTTAAGGAGACTTTGGGCTGAGATGACGGGGTCTTCTAAATATACAATCATGTCCTTTGCAAATAGAGACAATTTGACTTCCTCTTTTCCTAATTGTGGAAGAACTGTTTGAGCTCAGGAGTTCCAGGTTATAGTGAGCCAAGATCTGGCCAGAACTTCCAACGCTATGTTGAATAGGAGTGGTGAGAGAGGGCACCCTTGTCTTGTGCCAGTTTTCAAAGGGAATGCTTCCAGGTTTTGCCCACTCAGTATGATATTGGCTGTGGGTTTATCATAAATAGTTTTTATTAGTTTTTTAGATACGTTCCACCGATACCTAGTTTATGAGAGTTTTTAGCATAAAGGACTGTTGAATTTTGTCAAAGGCCTTCTCTGCATCTATTGAGATAATCGTGGTTTTTGTCTTTGGTTCTGTTTATGTGATGGATTATGTTTATAGATTTGCATATGTTAAACCAGCCTTGCATCCCAGGGATGAAGCTGACTGGTGATGGATAAGCTCTTTGATGTGCTGTTGGATTCGGTTTGCCAGTATTTTGTTGAAGATTTTTGCATCAATGTTCATCATGGATATTGGCCTGAAATTTTCTTTTTTGAGATGGAGTTTTGCTCTTGTTACCCAGGCTGGAGTGCAATGGCGGGATCTCGGCTCACCGCAACCTCCTCCTCCTGGGTTCAGGCAATTCTCCTGCCTCAGCCTCCTGAGTAGCTGGGATTACAGGCACGCGCCACCATGCCCAGCTAATTTTTTGTATTTTTAGTAGAGACGGCGTTTCACCATGTTGACCAGGATGGTCTCGATCTCTTGACCTCTTGATCCACCCGCCTCGGCCTCCCAAAGTGCTGGGATTACATGAAATTTTCTTTTATAGTTGTGTCTCTGCCAGGTTTTGGTATCAGGATAATGTTGGTCTCATAAAATGAGTTAGGGAGGATTCTATTTGTATTGTATGGAATAGTTTCAGAAGGAATAGTAACAACTCCTCTTTATACCTCTGGTAGAATTCGGCTGTGAACTCGTAAGCTAAGAAATGTTTATATTCATGTTTGAGAATCAACCAATTAAAAACACATTTATTGAATAATTACTAGGCTAGACACATCAGAGGATACAAATGTCCCTGGCTTGTTTTTTTTTTTTTTTTTCAGTCTTCTCTAATTTTATTACAGGGCATGTTGGGGACAGGGGAGGGAAGTGGCAAAGGAGTGACAGGAGGGCAGTCTAGGGCCATTCTCACCCTGAGCCTTGAGGCCTGGTGGGGGACAGGAACTGCAGAGGCATCAGATGAGGCCTTGGAAAGCCCAGGCCATCAGCTCCTCTCACGGGACCAGGCATGTGGTGTTGGCTCTCCAGGAACAGCAGGAGAAAGGCTTGCATGAGCTACCCCTGCCATCTACACCTGACAGGACAGGGGAGACAGGGAGAGAGTATCAGGCGCTCTACCTTCCCATTAAGGGGCACGGGTCATGGGAGCACTTCCTCCAAGGACACAGAGAGCCTGGCTGAGCTGGCTGGCTCATGCTCCTTCTGGTCTGGGGGTCAGAGGAGAGTGAGATACTCTGGTTTGAAAGGCCTTCCTTTCTACCTCAGGGAAAACAGGTAGGGAGGTGAGGGTGCATTGCCAAAAAACACCCCCAAAACTCCATCTGGCTGAGTGACCCTGGGCAAGTCACTTCACTTCCTGGAGACTCAAGTTTCAAGATGGGAACAATGAGCATCGCCTCACAGGTTTGTCGTGAGGATTAAGCGAGAAAGTGTGTGTAATATTAGTGATGACTGGATGATACAAAATTGAGAACAAGCCTGGGTGCGGTGGCTCACGCCTGTAATCCCAACACTTTGGGAGGCTGAGGTGGGTGGATCATGGGGTCGCGGTCAGGAGTTCAAGATCAGCCTAATAGGGTGAAACCCTGTCTCTACTAAAAATACAAAAATTGGCCAGGCATGATGGCATATGCCTGTAATCCCAGCTACTCAGGAGGCTGAGGCAGGGGAATAGCTTGAACCCAGGAGGCGGAGGTTGCAGTGAGCTGAGATCATGCCATTGCACTCCAGCCTGGGCAACAGAGCAAGACTCCGTCTCAAAACAAAACAAAACAAAATTGAGAAGATGATTGGCTGCGGAAGGCTCAGTGGGAACGCCCAAGGCAAGCAGGGGAAGTCAGTGGACAGAAGGCCTGGGAGTGGCTGCAACGTAGCTTCTTTCTTCCTCTGCCAGGTTAAAGAATGAGCCCTAGGGGGGGTGAGGAGGTGGGGAGAAAATTAGGGTCCTGGGAGGGGGCAGCCTGACGTCAAGGCCTGCATGAGAGTGCACAGGCGCCCATGGGCTGCGTGGAGGATGGGAGAGGGCGGGGAGAACAGGAATCCTCTGAGGGCTGTTTTTAAAAAGCTGAAGAGAAGAGACGACTATTTCTTTCCATAGGTGCAGCTGCAGAGACATCAAGCTGGACCCATCGAGGATTTCAGATGCAGCCATCATGGGATGGGGCTGCTACCGGGGAAGCCAGTGCCCCTCCTTTCTCCTCAGCACTGGGGTTATAAAAAAATACCTACAAACCATGAGAAAGTTTGTGTGAAAACACTTTTCTGCATGTATTAAAAAACGAGACTGGCCGTGGTCAGTGGCTCAGAACGTGGACCAAAGTCCCAAGAGTGGCCAAGGGGAGTCCATGGCACCCCAGTGGTAGAAGAGGTAGCCTGGGGCACCCCTGTGGCCGGGACAGTGCTGGCTCTGGAGAAGGCTGTTCTTTGGCTGGGCTACGCTTCCGTGGATGTGAGGTCTGAGGGGCAGGAGGGATGGCAGGAGTCCTGGCTCCAGCAGTCCCATGGAGACCCTGTGCTGGGGTGGGCAGTGGGGGAGCCTTGGCCCTAAGCCTCAGGAACCCTCTTAGTGAACCCCATTGCTAAAGGCAGAAGCCTCTTCCCAGTAAGCTTCCCCAGACAGGCGGGGGAGCTACAGGGGGTTCAGTCTGGTTTCCACTTCTGATGGAGGGTTCTGCCCAGAGGCTCCAGAAGGCTGTGTCCTGCTGAGGCTGACCCCAGCTGGGGACATCAGGCACAGGAGGGCAGCCCGGGGTTTGGACAGGAACCAAGGCGCTAGAACAGAAGAGCCACATTTGCAGCCTGGCCCCTCCTGCCCGGGGCTTCTGGATATTTCCTTGGGGAAGGAAGCAAGGAGAGGATGGTGGCCCTGCCCTCCTAGCCTGCTCTTCCCTCCTCTTCTTCACCCCACAAGGGCCTAGACTGTGTTGCTGGTTGGGAGAGGTCCAAGGAGTCCCCCCAGGCCCTGATCTGGGGGGGCCCAAGCAGCTTCCAGGGCCAAGTGGGTAGGGAGAGGGTGACAGTCAGAGCTAGAGGTTCCTCTGCCCAGTCAGCCCAAGCACCCCTCGTTTACCCACCACCATGGAGCCAAGGCTGTGACAGGCACCCTCAGTGGATCTTGTAGCCCCCAAGGCAACCTAGGAGTGGGTGGGTGTAGGCGGCATCTGCAGTCAGCAGTGGGCTGAGGACCACTCTGGCTCTGGGGAGTGGGGGCCTGTGCATCAGATCCCATCCGTCCCGCAGGCACTCTAGGGCTGCAGCAGGGGCAGGCCGCGCCAGAGTCCCTCCTTCAGGAACTGCATGTAGGTGGCCGTGAACGGGTCTTCAAAGGTGGGTGAGAAGCTAAAGAGATTGCTCTCGATTTCCTTGGGCTTCATGGAGGTGATGTCCAAGAAGTAGTTGGCATTGATGTGGTGGACCACGGTGCCATTGGGCAGGCAGATCATCATCTCCACGGGAAAGCTGTACTTCTCCAGGTGCAGGCCAGCCAACTTCTGCTGGGCCGCGTTCTCCTGGTTGCTCTGTAGCTTCTCCAGCTCCTTCACCAGGGACCAGATGCTGATGAAACTCTCCTTGAGCAGGATGAGGATAAGCGAACTTCCCAGGACCTTCTCCGGGAGAGTCCACCCCCGACCTCAGCAAGACTGGTCGTCCAGGGCCCCCCACAGCAGGATCAAGTGCACCAGCTTGTTCTCAGCCTTGGCTTGGTGGAAGGCCTCAGTGAATGGCAAGTAGGAGACCTTCTTGAAGGGGTACATGGCTACCTCCAGGCGCCAGGTGGCCTCCTCCCAGCTCAGCTCCTGCTGCCACTTGATCTCCTCAAATCACAAACTGCAGGGGCTCCCCCAAGGGCAGGTGGCTGTCGATCACGCTGCCACCCTCATCCAGGATCATGGAGGGCACTGAGGGGCTGTGGCCTCCAGCTCCATCTGGGGTATGCAGCCGATGTCCACGTCCATGTTGCTGCTTTCACTGGCCCCATAAAGGCACTCCATGTCCACATTCAGAGACCTGCGGTTGGGCACGAAGAGCCGGAAGTCGCGGATGTGGGTGGCATCTTTGGAGAGGATGACGTGGCCGGTGAACTCAGCAGGGGAGAACCAGAAGGGGAGAACCAGAAGGGGAAGTCGGGCTGGAACTCGGCATGGATCCGGAACACCACAGTGTAGTAGAAGTCGCTGACAGCAGTCAGGGTGGCCACGGCCCCCTGAGGGGCAAAGCGGGTCTTCACGAAGGGCCGCGGGTGGAACATGCTCAGGATCCGGGGGATGATGACCCCCTTGCCCTTGGGCGGCGGTGGATAGAAACGGTTGTTGGACAGGTAGCGGGTGAAGACGCTCAGCTCACTGGGGATGATCCACCAGGGCTTGCCCAGCTCCTGGCCTGGCAGGGGAAGGAAGGGCTGGAAGTGGCGGGCGGCAAACACTGCCCTCGGTGAGGCCGCAGTCATCCAGTTTCGGAGGCCGGACAGGGTGAGGCGGGAGACCTTTAGGAAGCCATCTTTGCTCTTGGTCATGGTCTCTGGGAAAAGAGGCTGGAATCAGGCTTCTATGGTGAGCGTCTCCTCGCTAGGGTCAAGGGGGCAGCTCCTCCTCCTCGTATCTGGCCTCAGGAGTTGACCCTGTTAGCTTCTCAGCAATGGGCTGGAACTCCTGGGGGCCGATGTACATGTCCCCGTCAGTGTCCAAGGAGGAAAAGAGAAAAAGGCCATCTGTTCCGAAGGTCTTCAGCATTGATTCCTGCCGCGCGGCCGCCTGGGCCTCGGCGTGGCGGGCGCAGACCCTGACGGCGGCGGCGGTGGCTGCACCCAGCAGGGCTCCGAGCAGCGCCAGGGCGCGGGTGCCACGGCGGGGTGGCGGCTCGGGAGGCGGCGCAGCGGGGCTGGGGCCGGGGCCAGGGCTGGGCTGCCCGCGCTGGCCCAGCCAGGCCCGGCTCATGGCTGGCTTAATTGTTTTAACATTAAACTAATAAAAAAGATGGAAGGGCTTTATTTTTAAGGTTAAAAGATTATTTTTGTTATATATATATATATATATATATATACACACACTTTTATTAAGATATATCTCTTTAGATATATATATATATATTTTAATTCAGCTAAAAAGAATATGATGAAAGTTTATAAAATCACAAAATTGAAGTACAAATGTGAAACCAGGTATCCAACTTCAAAAATAATAGCTAAGAGTCATCGTAAGAGGCATCATTTAAATATTTTTACTTTCAGGAAAATAAATGACATAGCATAATAAGCTTACAAAATTCATTATTTCAAAAGATAGTCTAGCAGAAAGTATTTAATAACAAGTGTTGATGAGAATATTAGGAAATTGGAGCCCTCCTACACTGCTGGCAGGAATGTAAAATGGGACAGCTGCTTTGGAAAAGTCTGGCAGTTCCTGAAAATGCTAAACATAGCTACCCTGGGACCCAGCAACTCCACTCCTGGGTACACACGCAACAGAAATGAAAACATATTCTACACAGAAACTTGTACACAAATGTTCACAGCAGTGTTATTTGTAATAGCTGAAAGACGGAAACAAACCAAATGTCCACCAACTGATGAATGGATAACAAAACGTGGCATGTCTATATAACGGAATATTAGCTAACAATTAAAAGAAAGAAGTATGGGTATATGCTACAACACAGATGAACCTGAAAACATGATGCTAACTAAAGGAAGCCAGATCACAAAAGGCCACATGATTCCATTTATATGAAATGTCCAGAATAGGGAAACCCCCAGAGGCAGAAAGATTAGTGGTTGCCCAGGGCTGGTGGGCTTGGGGGAAAATGTGAAGTAAATACTAATGGGTACTGAGTTTCTTCTGAAAGTGATGAATATGTTCTAAAACTAATTGTGGTGATAGTTGCACAACTCTGTGAATGTACTAAAAACCATTTAATTGTATACTTTTTTTTTTTTAACTTTTATTTTTTTAAGACAGGGTCCCACTCTGGCACCCAGACTAGAGAGCAGTGGTGTGATCATGGCTCACTGCAGCCTCTGCCTCCCTGGCTCAAGTGATCTTCCCACCTCAGCCTCCTGAGTATGATCATGGCTCACTGCAGCCTCTGCCTCCTGGGTTCAAGTGATACTCCCACCTCAGCCTCCTGAGTGGTGAGAACTACAGGCATGCACCACTACGCTCAGCAATTTTTTAAAACTTTCTTATAGAGATGAGGGCTCACAATATTGCTCAATCTGGTCTCCAACTCTTGACCTCAAGCAATGCCCCTTCCTTGGCCTCCCAAAGTATTGGGAATAGAGGCATGAACCACTGTGCCCAGCCAAACTGTACATTTTAAGAGATGATCCAGGTCAGTGGTTCTTAAACTTTGGTGTATCAGAATTATTTGAGAGTTTGTTAAAATACAGAATGCTGGGCTCTACCCCGGAACTTCTGATTCAGTGGTCTAAAAGTAGGCCCAGGAATTGTCATTTCTAACAACTTTTTGATGTGGTGGTTCAAGGACCACATTTGGGAGGCACTAGTCTAGGTAAAAAGAAAGAGGCACTGAAAAAGTTTAAATTATTATCCTGACAGACCCATATTACATCATTCAGGGAAGGTAAGCATGTACAAATACTTCCTTAGCCTTTTGATAACATAAAGATCACTCATTCTTTTCATAAACTCTCTTGATTCTTGATCCTTGTAAAATAAAATCTTGGATAATAGTACAAATAGGTAAATTTTATTGAACATGTATTGTGTTCCAAGAAATGCTAAGCACATCTGTTATTTCACTAATCCTCACAACTATCCCTTGAAGTAAGTCCTTTTTTCAAATCCCCATTTTATCGTTGAGGAAGTTGAGGCCTACAGGATATATAACTTTTCCAGAGTCACACATGTGGTAAGTAGCAGAGCTGGGATCCCAACCCCAATTTGTCTGATTCCCAACCACATGCTGTGATGTACTTACTAAGGCACCCATATCAAAAGAATGGGTGTCAGCCAAAGGTCTGAAAGGCAGTAGTTACATTTATAAAAACAGGTCAGCATCTACATTCCTTATCCAGAGGATCAAGAGTATTTCTCCAGGATGATGATTCCATTTTCTTTGATTTGGGGTCTTAAAGGAAAGGCAGGATGCAAAAAGTAAGACACTGTGTGCTCTTAATAACGTAAGTTGAAATCAAGAAATAACAGCAGCTCTAATGACGGTTGGAGATTTATGCTGGGGCAGAATATGAAGAAATAAAATAATTCAGTTTGCAATGTTTGCTTTGTAAAAGACATTATATTTAGAACTTTATTTATAAATATCACAATATCGAGCAATTTGGCAATACTAAAGTTGGTTTTTAGGCCACCCACTGATATTTCAGACCTAAGGAAAATAAAGTGGATTTTTAAAAAATCCACTCATAGCATACATAAAAATCTATAACCAAAAAGGCCAACATAATGTTTACCATCTTCCCCATCCTTCTCTCTCCACTGTCTCCCAAATCCCCACCAGTTCCTGTTTTTCTTTATCTCTTTTTATAGCCTCAGCTTCCCCTGAGTTGGCCAACGTCTATCAATTTTACCTCTAATGGTACCTCTTGATAGCCTCATCCTGTAGAGTGTCTCCAGGGACCCCTGTGACAGTTTCAACTGGTCTCATTCACTCTGTGCACTCTCACATTTGCTGTCAGTTATCTTAGAGCAGATCTCGGATGCTGTCACAATGGGGCTTAAAAAATCCTATGAAGCTACGCCATCAAAACAGGAAGGCAAATTCCTAAACATGGCATTCAAGAGTCTATTTTCCATTTTTTATTGAAATGTTTGTCAATAGATATTTAAAAATTTATTTACATTTTTTTTTCTTGTGAACCCAAACTAAGACACACCAATACATTTTTAAAAATCAAATGTTTAGGAGCCAGGTGCAATGGCTCATGCCTGTAATCCCAGCACTTTGGGAGGCTGAGGCGGGTGAATCACCAGATGGTCAGGAGTTTGAGACCAGCCTGGCCAACCTCATGAAACCCTGTCTCTACTAAAAAAACACAAGAATTAGGCCAGGCATGGTAGCTCACATCTGTAATCCCAGCACTTTGGCAGGCTGAGGCGGGCAGATCATGAGGTCAGGAGATGGAGACCCTACTGGTTAACACAGTGAAATCCTGTCTCTACTAAAAATACAAAAAGTTAGCTGGGCATGGTAGCACATGCCTGTAATCCCAGCTAATTGGGAGGCCAAGGTAGAGAATCGCTTGAACCTGGGAGATGGAGACTGTAATGAGCCAAGATCACACAACTGCACTCCAGCCTGGGTGACAGAGGCGACAGGGCGAGACTCCATCTCCCAAAAAAAAAAAAAAAAAAAATTAGCACCTGTAATCCCAGCTACCCAGGAGGCTAAGGGAGGATTGCTTGAATCTCGGAAGTGGAGGTTGCAGTGAGCAGAGATTGCACCATTTCACTCCAGCCTGGGTGACAAGAGCAAAACTGTCTCACAAAATCAAATGTCTATTCTACTGGTCATCTGATATATTAAATTCACTGAAAACTTTTTTTTTTTTTTGAGATAGTCTCGCTCTGTCGCCAGGCTGGAGTGGTGCAGTGGCACGATCTTGGCTCACTGCAACCTCCGCCTCCTGGGTTCATGCAATTCTCCTATCTCAGCCTCCTGAGTAGCTGGAACTACAGGCGCATGCCACCATGCCCAGCTAATTTTTTTTTTTTTTTTTTTTTTCCAGTCGAGCCGGGTTTTCACCATGTTGGCCAGGATGGTCTCAATCTCTTAACCTCGTGATCCGCCCGCCTTGGCTGGGATTACAGGCGTGAACCATGGCACCCGGCCCACTGAAAACTTTTAAATCAATCTGATTGATTAAATGTGCCATTAGGCAGAGGACCTGTTCCATATTGGGTCCTCCACTCTCTAGGACACATTATTTAACACAGCTGTGCCCACACAACACAGAGAACAAGAAGCCTGCAGGGCAAGTGCAGCATAGGGTGGACAGTCCCTGCTGAGACTCAATACAGTAACACACAACGGAAAGTGGGACATACTATGCAAACACATAACAGACACATAAGCAAAGCAAGTATCAGCCCTGGAAAACTCCTGATGGCCTACCCGTGAGTCACAAGGTTGGACTTAATTCCTCTTGGGAAGGAGGGTTAGGCCCTATTGCTCATAATTACCCTAATGAAGCTCCTTCCAACAGTGCAATATGGTCCAACTTCATGTAATAAATTCCATTTCTGGCCCAATGCTGACCACTGCAGGGAACACAGAGATGAATAAGATAGTAGTCACTTCCCTTCGTTGGGTAACATGGCAAATAACAGTGCTTCTCATTTGGGCATAAGCCCCCAGTTCGAATCACCTGGACCTATTAAAAATGCACATTCCTGGGCCCTGCACATGGAGATTCAGATTCAATGGCTTTGAGATGGTACCCTGAAATCTACATTTTAAAATTTAATTTTGTTGACTGGGCATGGTGGATTATGCCTGTAATCCTAACCCTTTGGGAGGCCGAGGTGGACGGATCACTTGAGTTCAGGAGTTCGAGACCAGCCTGGCCAATTTGGTGAAACCCCATCTCTACTACACACGTATGTTCACTGCAGCACTGTAAACAATAGCAAAGACCTGGAATCAACCCATATGCCCATCAATGATAGACTGGACAAAGAAAATGTGGCACATATACACCATGGAATACGATGCAGCCATAGAATACAATGAGTTCATGTCCTTTGTAGGGACATGGATGAATCTGGAAACCATCATTTTCAGCAAACTGACACAAGAACAGAAAATCAAACATCATATGTTCTCACTCATAGGTGGGTGAACAATGAGAACACATGGATACAGGGAGGGGAGCATCACACACTGGGGTCTGTTGGGGGGAATAGGAGAGGGACAGCAGTGGGTAGGGGGGAGTGATAACATGGGGAGAAATGCCAGATATAGGTGATGAGGGCATGTAGGCAGCAAACCACATTGCCATGTAGGTACCTATGCAACAATCCTGCATGATCTGCACATGTACCCTAGAACCTAAAGTGCCATAAAATATATATATATATATATAAAAGAAATACAAAAATTAGCTGGGCGTGGTGGCATGCGCCTGTAATCGCAACTACTCAGAAGGCTGAGGCACGAGAATGGCTTGTACCCGGGAGGCGGAGGTTGCAGTGAGTCAAGATTATACCACTGCACTCCAGCCTGGGTGACGGAGCAAGACTCAGTCTCAAAAAATAAAAATAAAAAAATAAAAAATAACATAAAATAAAATAAAATTTTGTTATTTGTTTTTATGAAATATTTATGTAGTTCCAAAGCTAAAACAATGAAAAGTCTAGTTTCTATCATCGTCCATTTTATCTTTTCCTCTCCCTTCTGCCATGGGCATCATGTTAGTAATTTTTGATTTATCTTTCCGTTGTTTCTCTGAAAAATATAATTATGCATTATATATACACATACAGATACACATATATACACATGAAGTCTGCATTTCTTACAGGCTTTGAATATACATTCAAGTTTAGGAACCAGGCTCTAGAATCAGACATGAGTTACAGGACATGTGACCTTGGAATAATTTCTTAAATTTTCTAAGCCTCAGATCCTTCTTCCGTAAAATGGAGTTTTTATTTTACAAAAGCCTAATACACATTAGCATTCAACAACTGCAAGCTATTACTATATCAACATTATTCATTAAACACATATTTAATGAATACCCACTGAATCAGGAAACATTTTAGGTACTGCAGATACAGCAATGTAGAAAACAAAGTTCCTGCCCTGAGGGAACTTACATTCTAATGTGGATGACAGAGGCAATAATAATAATACATAAAATAACAGTAGATGGTGATCCACGATTAGAAGATAAGGCTAAGAAAATAGCACATTGGTGGATGTGTCAATCTCTTTTATATAGGATATGTAGGGAAGGTTTTGCTGATTTGGGTGACATTTCAGCAGAGACTTGAGTGAAATGAGGAATGAAACATATATGCTGAGGCAACTAAGTGCCAGGCTGAGGAAAGAGCAAGTGCAAAGGCCCTGAGGTGGGTATGTACTTTGTGCATTGATAGAACAAGGAAGGCTGTGTGTGACTGGTGCCAGAAAAGAGTGACAAGTGTACAGGAGACAGGGAAATAACCAGGGCCTGATCATGTCAGATGTTTCCAGACAAGGTAAAGACTGTGGAACTTATTCTAGCTGTGATGTGATACGATGGGAGGGTTGTGAGCAGAGGACGGATGGAATCAGATTTAGGTTTTCAAAGTTTCACTCTAGCTCGTAGATAAAAAACTGAAAATGGCACAAGGGCAAACACAGGGTGATCAATGAGAAGACTACTACAGTAATTCAAGTGACAGATGATGATGCCTTCAAGAGTAGTAACCATCAAGATAGAAATGGCTGGATTTCAGATTTATTCTAGGGATAGAACACAGAAGATTTGCTAATAGATGGGATATAGTGTAAAATAGAATGAGAGAAGTCAAGAATGATTCCAAAGCTTTTGGCCTTAGTCAAAGAGGTAAGTAGAAATGCCACTTGCTGAGAGGTAAGATACAGGAGGACAGTCATGTTTGAGGGGAGAGGAATCAAGAACTGTTTCTGCTATGCTGCTAGACATTCAAATGAAAATGCTGAAAAAGCAGCAGGATTATACAAGTTTGCAGTTTTGAAAGAAATCACCCTCATCATGTTCTCCTGATTTCTATTTCCTAGGAGACAGAGTATATTGTCTCTAAGACATTTACACCTCAAATATTATTTGGCCCTGTGTGACCTGGCTCTGGAGATTCCTGGATGAACTTTCCATCCAAAGGTAAAAGGGATAATGACTAGAAAGAGCAATAATTACTGCTGCACAAATCTGGAAATAAAGCACTTTTGAAGCAGGAGGCAGTAAATGGCCTCTCTTAACCCAGTATATACAAAAACACCTTAGGAAGCAAAGAGCATTTCTCCTGCTTGGTGGGTAATCAAAGAAGGCCAAAAGCTACCTATCGTTTCAAAACTGTGTTCCTGAAAAACCACAGGTGCAAGGAATCTGTACTGTGACAGTGGAGTTGATGAGAGTCTAGGAGAACTATGTGCTAATGGTCCAACAGGAGATCAGAGTCAAGGATTCTGATGAGCTAAGTCAAGTGTGGCAACAGCTGCATTAATCCCTTTCAGAAACATATGTTCTTAGCTGAGTTGGGTACCCTCCCACCCATGCTGCAATAATAGGCAACATCTTTCTCTAGTATCATAATCTGTTCACATGTCTTTGTCTCCCAATGTGTATCCTAGGGGCACAGGCATTGTCTCAAGTTCATCACTGTATTACTGTCCCTTGCAGAGAGAAAGGCCCATGTAGGCACCTAGTACACATATCTGATGAAGCACTGGGGGAATGAATCCCTTGATGCAGTGTCAGGTCTTTCACTTAAAAAAATGTTCTCCTCCTCTATTTAAATGTTTAATGAGAGCATTTAATGACAGAAATTGGTTTTCTTGAGATGTTTGGGGCAAGTAGGATTCTTCTATTAACCGAAAGGACTAGAACAGCTTACTGTGGAGGTGTGATTTTAATGGCACCCAAAGCTGGTGAAGGAGGAGGGGTGCACATTAACATGAAAATTCATTGTGAAAGAACCCTACTGAAGAAGTCATGAAGAACCCTGCAAGGATGACTGGGTGACACTATGAACTGCTAATGCACCGGATATCAGACACCACCAAGATTCCATGAGGCCCATCATGGGTACCCATGTAGATCAATATAACATCTGAGTAAGAGATGTGAGTCACATTTTTATTGTTCTTGATTTCTAGGACCTAAACATTAAGAGGAAAGTTAGAAATGATTTCCTTGGTCTTTGGGGGCAGTTATCAGATCAGTCACTCATAGATAAGAGCACAATGTTCATCCTTACCCCCGAAACCTTCATTTGTATTTCAGATCACACAAGAGATGTCTGTCCCTACTTTCTGCACTAGTCAATCCCAAAAGGACTATGCAAGTTTTTATGGGTTAGGTTTCACGACAATCTGGAAACTCTTCTATCTACAGAATTAGGTAACTTGGACGCTTTGGATACAAGGTAACCAACCACTTGGGTAGATTCAAAGGTTGGCGTAACTACATGAGCTTCCTACAGTAATGAGAAGTGAACGAGTGATTACTAAGGGAAAAAAAAAGCCATATGGTGTTAACTTGTTCAATGCCCCGCAAACCAGGGTTAACTTTCATCTAGAAAACCCCACAATCATCTGGACAACTTCAAGCCCCTGGCAGGCTAAGAACTTACTGCTTTGGCCCTCTAAAATGAACACTTCTTGGAAATTAAAATGGGCCAAAGCTGAGCACAATTAAAAAGGAAAGCTCGTCCTCCCACTTTGCACAGAGAGCAAGGGCAAATGGAACTCCCCTAAATGACTGGATCACTGGATCACCCAGGCCGCCTCATAGACATCGTTGTCTATAGACGGTGGTCATCTCTCTGCCCTCATCCCAAGCCCCTCTCAGGTAGCATCCAACCGAAGCCCACACAGATGGACGCCTGTCCACTTCCCCGGCCTCACAAAAGATCTGGGCCGCTCCTGTGCTGACCCTGCGCGGCCCCTCGGCTTACCCCAAGCAGCCAGACAGTCGATTTGCAGAGGCAGCTTTTCTAGGATCGGCACTGGCTCGAAAGCGTCGTGCATGGCGGCAAGGGGAGAGTCGCCGCCGCCGTCTCTCCCAGAGTGTGCCGGTCCGGTCTGGGGTCCGGAACGAGGCTGGGCTAAGGGTAAATGGGGATCTGGCCAGGACTCGCCGCTACAGGCCGATCAACAACACAGCCATCAACCCCGTACTTCCTGCAGGTTAGGCCCGCCCCTTCCGCAGCCAAAGTCCCGCCTCTTCCTCCCAATGCACTCCAGGAATTCACTGGTTTCTGAGTCGCCGTCGTCACTCTGGATCGAGAACTACTTAATCCCGAGTAGCCGTGGGTTTACCATAGAAGGAACAACTTCTTAATCTTAGAACTGTTTTAGGCAGTGGGCATGATGGTTAAAAATTCGGGCTTTGGCGTCAGACATCAGACGGAGATCTACCAGTTAGCAAATTAGCTGTGATTTAGAAAATTTACTACTTTCATGCCTTACTTTCCTAATCTACAAAATGGTTTGTATTAAGTACCTGTGACCTAGTGTCATGAGCGCTTAGCAACACCTGACACAATCTCAGCTCTCAATAAATGGCAGCTTTAGTATTACCATTCTATCCCAATTAGTACAAGCACCTTACCTTTATACCTTCAAGGTTGTTCTAGGCCAGTGGCTCTGAAAGTGGTTCTAGAGGAGCCCCAATAGCATCATCAGCACCACCCGTGGACTTGTTAGAAATGCCAAGTTTCAGGCCCATTCCTGTTCTACTGAATCTGAAACTCTGGAGGGTAACATCAATCTATTTTAATAAACCCATGCACTTACAAGCTTGAGAACCACCAAGAGTCCGTGCACTTACAAGCTTGAAAACCACAGTTTTAGGCTAGGGTTTCTCAGCGGTAGCACTACCCACAATTAGGGCAGGATAATTTCTTGTTGGGGGAGGGGATGTGCTCTGTACAAAGTACGATGTTTAACAGCATCCTTAACCTCCACACACCAGATGCGAGAAGTAACTTCCCCACAGAGGTATAACCAAAAATATCTCTTGGCCATATGTCCTCTGGGAGGCAAAATCACCGATTGAGAACCACCATTTAAGGCCAATGCTTTTCATATTTAATGTGCATACAAATCACCTAGAGACGTTGTTGAAATGCATCTTTTGATTCAGTAGGACCAGAGTAAGACCCTCAATTGAGCACCAAAAATCTCCCAGATGTTGCTGGTTCCTGGACCACATTTTGAGTAGCAAGAGTTTAGGCAGCGAGATGATTCACTAACTCTTCGAAGTCAGTGAAATAAGCCTCCTTTTAATTTGATGATCACATTCCTACCAATTCAACTTTCCCAAGCTCTGTCTTACATACTAATACTCATTTTAGGAAAGTGTTATGGCTCTTCCTCCTATAGGACCTGGGACCTGTACTGTCTGAGATTACCCTAGTAGTCCCCTTGAAGACTTAAAAATCAAAACTTAGCTTGGGCTCCAAGAATGATCTATATCTGGTAATTTCCTCCTAGGAAAACATCAGATAGGTCAAAAAATTAAGCATTTGGGTTTAAAGCAAAAATGTAAAGAAAAAGGGTATGTCTATGATATTAAGTCAAAAAAACTGGTCCTGGTCATTTTATTTTTACACAATGTCAGTTTCTTCATGTGTAAACTAGGAATACTTGTCCATCTTTACCAAATGCTGTTCTGATAAACAAGTGGAAGTACATTTTCAAGTAATCAGAAACACAAAAACTGCTAAACAAATCCTGTTATAGCTGATTTTCACCACAGAAGCTGATTACCTTCTTGAAAATTAAAAATTACCAGCTGTTGTGCTGGGAGAAGGTCTAGTACTTTTAGTTCACGCCCAAAACCAAAATAAACAATATAAACCCTAATTTAACAGATCAATGTAAAACTATAAATTCCTTCTGAACCTGTCCTAAGAAATGACACACTATATCCATTCCCAGTAATACAGAAGGTGGTAAGTAGAATTAACAGGGCCCAGGCTATAGAATTTTTACTATACACTCCTGCTTAACACAATGGGTTTTTCTTCCTATTCTCAAGTCAGTATCAAACCAACCTCAAAAAATATTTGACCATCTATCCTGCTTCATTATAATTATTACTCATCTGCTAAATTTTAATATGCAATAGCAGCATACAACAATACCACCAACCTTTGCCTAATGAGTTAGCATGAGAATCTAGTCAGTTGTTAGACTGCTGTTCCTCAGAGATACTTCCTAGGAAATTTTTAAATTACCATAGCAAAGAGCTGTAGAGAAACTATTTAAGGGTTAACACTTTCACTGCAGTATAAGTTGGTGAAGATTGTGGTCATGTGGTCATTTGTTTTAACAGAAAGTAAGACAATCTAGAATAAAAGCCATGGAAAAAAATTTTTCATGAGTTTGAGAAGAACAAAAAGTTTAAAAAAAATAAGAAACATATTAATTTTTGTTAAAATTTTTTATATTAAAAAGTGGCATGAACTTTTTATGTAGAACAAAAATCTTGGGAAGGCAAAATTGGATAAAACCATTAAAACAGAAATAGAGTGCTTCAAATGAATCCCATCACCTCGTGATGTCCCTTATAAACAGTCTCTAAACCAATACCGGCTACCAGAACAGTCCATCCTAAAGAAAAAGCAGCAGTCCAGGGCCTCCAAGCTACTTCATGCAATAACTGTTTAAATTAAGCCAGCAGGACCTGTTTCCTTTGTATAAACACCCACTTCTGAAGCATTACAGTTCCTCTAGCACGGCTCTCAATCACAGCACTTGGAGCACCTCTCTGCATAAAGGCAAACAAAACAATGCCTAGGACCCTGCAATGCCACCCTTGGAGGCTTACAAAACAGTAGTTAAAAGTTTCGGTCAGAGTGTGCACCACATTGCCAGCAATGGGATGTGTCACAATAGCAGATGTCAAAAGAGTTAAGCTAATATTTCTCTTTAAAGTACATCTGAAATAGAAAAATCTTTAATATACACCATTTGTAAACAAAATTGCACTTGATTTTGCTTTGTTAAATGATCTAAATCATACTGTAACAGGTTTTTTTCCCCTCTCTTTTGATCATTGATAGAACTATGGCTCCTTAACTCAGAAGGGCCCTTTTTTCTCAACAACCTCTACAAGATGTAGCTTTGACTTCTCAGGAAAATAAAAGGTAGTTAACAATTTCCCCCATCACCTATGTAACTCCCTAAATAAATAAAAATTACAGGCAGTTGCTCCTGGAGATTACATATTATGGTGTTGATGACAGTCCTTTAGAAGACGTTAAACTTTTTAGTTTGAAAGATTAAAAAAATGAAATGTTACAGAAAGTTCAGGAACATCACACTTAAGTTGCATGAACATCCATGTCAGAGTCTGCGAGGAAAGGGGGCATCAGTGTTGTAAATAAGAAGCTTGTAGATTTTTCTCATCCTATGAACTTTTCAGTAAGATGTTCTCTTTGTTCTGACACCTCTTGCCAATTCCAATGCCCAAAGATCAAGGATCAGATCAGGATGTCATTGCCTCCTTTAATCCCATGGAGCAGTACACAAGACTGACACAGATGCTGATCTCTTCCCTGATAGTAGCCATCTTCAACTGCAAATCTTCCCATTCTTTACTCCATTTTGGACCTTTCAAAGTGTGTGATCATTCGTTCCTGTGGAAAAAAATGTTTATTAGGTTAAAATGGTCTACAGTCCAAATATCTTCTACACAGACTATCCAAGCAAACATTTTCCACGAGTATTTGCTTATGTTAAATGTTTAGAGAAATAATTCCTAAACATTTATGAAGACTCTGAACATACAAATGTCCAGACCTTACCCAAGAACAACTAAATCAAAAGCTCTAGGCTTCTGGACAGCAAATCACCACTCAGAAGGAAATGTATAGAGTCAGTTAAGATGACTAAACAAATATTTACATAAGATTAGGCTTTAATAAAAATGTATACCTCCTTTAATTCAGGTATTTAACTTGAAGAACCAGCGAAGGGCAAAGATCTAGTTATAACATTTAGCCTTGTAACAAATATTAGAAAGAATCCAGTGTCCAAAATATAAGGCTGTATAAACAAAGTATGATATATCCTTACAATTAAATATTATATACTCATTAAAATTATATTAGATTTAAAAGTTCTAGAGACCTGTTCTACTACATATGGCCATAGTTAACATTTTGCACTTTAGAATGGGAAGGTAGATTTGTTATGTGTTTTTTACTACAATGTCTTAAAATAATGTAAAAAATAAAATTACATTTAATAAAGTATTTACAGTATTCCATTTAAATTAAAATAATTAATGTACTACTCTAAAATTTCCCTTCTTCGGCAATTTTCTACCTTAGAGTTAATTTTCTGTCGTTTTTCTTTTGCTTCATTTGCTAAGTACCTCTCACTATTGTATCACAAACTGATAGAACTATAAATCATTTTTTAATATAATCAATCACATCAGAAAATCTACAGATGTTTCCCTTTTTCTTAGAAATATACTTTCTGATGCTCTCTATTCTCCTACTCCATCGAAGCCTGTTGCCCAGCTGCCAACCTGAGAATTTATTATATCATACTGGGAATTTTTCTTGTCTCTGTGGGTTGGACCCTTTATTTCCTACATCGCAAATCTTTTTCTTAGTTTCCTTATTTTTGTGGAGAACATTTTCCACTACTTTCCTCAGAAAGTGCATACAGGACATCGATTACGTTACTTCTTGTATGACTGAAAACATCTTTATTTTACCCTTAAAACGATAGTTGAGTACAGAATTCTAGGCTGAAAATAACTTTCCTCAGAATTCAGTGGCATTGTTCTGGCTTCCAAAGATGCTGCTGAAGAGCCTTATGCCATTTTGATTCCTGGTCCATCATGTAAATTGTTTCTCCTATCATTCATTTAAGTTCTTTTTCAGTTTTAAGTGAAAAAAAAGTCTTGGAGAAAATGATGTCAGCAAGATGACAGAATAGGAAGCTCTGGGCCCTCCTTCCCACTATAGACACATTGATTCAATAATACACGGAATAATTCCCTTTGTGAGAAATCCAGGAACCAGTTGAGGGTCTCCTGCACTATAGGAAAGCATGAAACCAGCTGTATCAAAGTCAGCAGAAAAATCTGAGGTATCCTCTTGCCATAAGTCTTCCCCTCCCATGGACCCAGTACAGCACCACATGATAGGAAACTCTCAGCTCCCAGCTTCTTTTTGGAGAGGGACGGAAATGACTGGAATGTCCATCTAACATTCTAACTTTTCTGGAACCTGCACAAGAGACTGTTTTCTGTCTTACCTGAGTTTGAGGTCTAACAACAAAGGGCCCAGGTTGGAAGTTGCTGAAATCAAAAGTGGAAGTTTGGACTAGCAAGCATGAGCTCACAACAGTCCCTCCCCCAGCACAGTACGGAGTAAGCAGGTGGAATCCCCAACATCCCCAAATCCCAGCTTTTCCCTAGGGAGGGCAGTTGGACTGTGAAAATGTTCCAACTTTGCAAGAGGTTACCTGAGAGAATGGTTTCTGTAGGAAATGGTTTGAAGCACAGATGGGACTAGCATACTTTAGGTGCCTGGGGGCCAGTGTGAACAAAAAAAAGAGCTGGGCTATGCCACGGGCTCCAGAAGACTCATGACACAGCACATAAACATAAAAGGGAGAAAGAGATTATAAATTCCTGGGAGGGGGGGAGAAGGAACCCAGCAAATCCCTCTGATTGGCAATATATATGCAGAAGTTCAGAAAAGACACATACAGAGTGGGTTAGAGAGGCCCTCGGAATCTCCAAGCAGGATGATTGGTGAGGGTGTTCTCCTGTACAATCCCAGTCCATGAACACTGGAAAAGGTAGCTGTCTTTTCTAATGCACTGAAACCAACACAAAGAATTAAGGAAAATAGAGAATCAGACAAACATGGGCCAAACAAAGGAGTAAGATAAATCTCTGGAAACCAACCCCAATGAAACAGAGGTATAGGAAATATTTGAAAGAGAATGCTAAATAACTATCATGAAGATGTTCAACAAACTCAGGAAAACAATACATGAACAAAGTGAGAATTTCGACAAAAATATAAAAAATCTTTCTAAAAATATTCCAACAAATTGGAAAACCTAGAAAAAATACATAATTCCTAGAAGCGTACAACCTACCAAGACTGAATCATCAAAGAATAGAAAATCTGGAAAAAGAAAAAAAAAACAAAACAAAACACAACCTGATAAGACCCACAACAAGAAAGAAAATTCCATCAGTAATCAAAAACATCCCAACAAAAAAGCAGCTGAGGACCAGAAGGCTTCTTTGATTGAGGCCTACCAAATTTTTAAAGACAAAGTAACACGAATTCTTCTTAAACTTTTCCAAAATAACTGAAGCGGAAAAATTTATTTGGAAGGAACTTACAAACTTATTCTATGAGTCCAGTATTACCCTAATGCCAAAGCCAAACAAAGACATGACAAGAAGAGAAAATAACAGGCCAATATCTTTGATGAGCACAGATGCAAAAATCTTCAATGAAATACCAGAAAACAGAATTCAATGACATATTAAAAGAAGCATACACTATGACCAAGTGGAACCAAATAGGAAGCCCAGAAATAAAACTACACATATATGGTCAACTGGTCTTCGAAAAGATAAACAACATTACACAGTGGGGAAACTGATAGTTTCCTCAACAAATGGTGCTAAAAAAAACTAAATATTCGCATGAGAAAGAATGAAAGTAACTCATCTTCACTATATACAAAAATCAATTCAAAACAGATCAAAGACTTAGACAACTCAAACAAATTAAAGAATTAGACATAAGATCTGAAACCACAAGAAATCATTGCCAAGGCCAATTTCAAGCTTACCTGAAACTTCCTAGAAGACAACATAAGCTTCTTGAAATTGGCCTTGGCAATGACTTCTTAGCTATGACACCAAAAGCACAAAGCAACAAGAGCAAAACAGACCAATGGGACTACATCAAACTAAAAAGCTTCTGCAGAGCAAGGGAAGCACACAACAGACTGAAAGGCAACCTATAGAAGTGGAGAAAATATTTGCATACCACATACAGTCATGGATCACTTAATGACAGGGATACATTCTGAGAAAGGTATCATTAGGCAATTTCATAGTTGTGTAAACTTCACAGAGTATACTTACACAAATTTAGATGTTATACACCCTACTATGTATGTACCTTGGCCATATGGTATAAGCCTATTGCTCTAGGCAAAAAAAACCTGTACAGCATGTTACTGTACTGAATACCAAAGGCAACTGGAACACAATGGTAAGTATTTGGATATCTAAAGATATCTAAACGTTGAAAAAGTACAGTAAAAATACAGTATTATTATCTTATGGGTCCACTGTCATATATGTGGTCTGTTGCTGACTGAAATGTGGCATATGACTATATCTGATAAGGGTTAATACCCAAAATACATAAGAAACCCCTACAATTCAACAGCAAAAATATCAACTAACCTGATTAAAAACTGGGCCAGGGACCAGAATAGACATTTCTTATAAGAGGGCATCCAAGTGGTTGACAGGTATATTTAAAAATGCTTATCATCACTATCATCAGAGAAATGCAAACCAAAACCACAAGGTATCATCTCACACCTATTAGGATGGCTATTATCAAAAATCAAAAAGTAGCAAATGTTGGCAAAGAAAGAAATTCGAACCCCTGTGCATTGCTGACGGAAATGTAAAATAGTGTAATCACTACAGAAAAAAAGCACGAAAGCGCCTCAAAAAATTTAAATAACAACTACCATATAATCCAGTAATACCACTTTTACATATATACATAAAAGAAATGAAGCATGACCTCAAAGAAAAATGTGTACTCCCAAGTTCACTGCAACATGACTCACAATAGCCTAGATACAAAAATAATGCAAGTGTTCACTGACAGATAAATGGACGAAGACAACATGTTATATATACACAATGGAATACTAGTCAGCCTTAAAGAGGAAGGAAATTTTTACACATGCTACAACTTAACTAAATTTTGAAGACATTATGCTAAGTGAAATAAGCAAGCCACAGGAAGACAAATACTGTATGATTCTACTGATGAAAGTTATCTAAAATAGAACTCACAAGCAGAAAGTAGAATGGTAAATACCAGGGGCTGGGGGAGAGGAAAAGGAAAAGTTGCTATCAACAGGTATAAAATTTCAGTTAAACAAGATGAAAATGTCCTAGAGATGTGCTGTACAACATTGTGCTTATACATAACAATAATGTAATGTACACTGAAGCAATTAAGAGGGTAGATTTCATTGTTATGTTTTCTTACACAATAAAGCCTTATGTATACTTTAAAAATCTTGCAGTTTTTTCAGAGGAAAATATGAACAGATGGCTGAATTCAGTGCCCCCAAACTACCATAGTAAACTTGCATTCCTATGAAGGGCACAATCAGGTTTCACTTAATCAGCCCTCTCTGGTTATAGCAGCTCATGAAGAACTGAAGTCAAAGGGAAGCCCTAAAGGCGAATAATTAGCAGAGGAGACCTCAAGAGGGAGATGTGGGAACAGCAGAATATACCACCGAAAGCAAAGTGTTATGTAGATAGGTTCAAATCTAAATGGTAGAGTTTTCAATTATATCAATGCACAGAACAGCTAAAAAATTTTGATACTGTAATATGATATGTCAAATATCATGTCAGTGGGAAATGAACAAATCAATTTTAGCAGCCAATTCAACACAATGAATCAGAATCAGGCAAAAGGCTTCCTGAAATTAAAAAAAAAAAAAAAAAATTCTAGAGTGACCTAATATTCAGAACATGTCCAGAACTAGTTTCCATGAACTCAGGCCACAATTCTTTTTTTTTTTGAGATGGGTTCTCACTCTTTCACCCAGGCTACAGTGGCATGATCTTGGCTCACTGCAACCTCCACCTCCAGGGCTCAAGTGATCCTCCTAAGTAGGCCTTCCAAGTAGCCAGGACTACAGGTGTGCACCACCATGTCCGGCTAATTTTGGTATGTTTTGTAGAGATGGGGTTTCACCATGTTGCCCAGGTTGGTCTCAAACTTCTGATCTCAAGTGTTCCTTCTGTCTCAGCCTCCTGAGGTGCTGGGATTATAGGCATGAGCCACTGCACCTGGCCCACAATTCTAATGTAAGACTTCATGTGAAGTCTTCTAGATTAACTGTATGGAGGCAAAGTAAAAGATTAAAAACATAAATATTAGAGGTACTATTATAATCCCTACTATCTGAAGAAGTAGTAACACAGATAATATTAAATAGCAGGTAACAATTTATATTTTGTTTTGGTCCACTATATTCCTTTCTCAATATTTTTCCTTATTATTTTTGCTAACATCAGATTAGGGTTAAATTTGCATTTCTTACAGACAAAAGTACTAGATGGTGGAGAATACTGTATTTGCTACCAAATTTAAACAAAAATATTCTGAAGTCTGACCATGTAACTTAAAAAAATGGAACATATATAGACAGATGCAAAAAAAGGAAAGATTCTTCAATGTTTGAAATCTATTAGTATTTCTATTCTTATCTTTTTCAACTATATAAACTTTAGTTTTCAGGCCATTACTGAGTCAGTAAGTAGAATCTCTCTGAACAGACGATTCATGACTTTTTATTTAGTTACCAGATAAACAATTTATGCACATGATTTGAGTACTAACCTCATCTGAATCGAGAAGGGCTGGAAGTGCTCTGCAGAGAGAGAAAAATACTAAATTGAACAATGTAAAACAAAGCCATAAATGGTTCATAAAAAAAACACTGGAATAATTAATGCAATTTAAAGCTTTTTTATAATTATCTAAGATTTGCATTTTATTAATGGCCCTTTTAGGGAAAAAAAAGCAAATACAATAACCAACAGCTACAGAAATTGTATAGAAAAAAAAACCAAAACATGTTTTGCAATGCGACAGGACCAATATTTCATTAAAATTATGGCCCTGGAAAGGAACTAAAAAATTTCAAAACGATTATCCCATTCATTTTAAGATCTACTACATAGCCAAATCTTTCTAAGCAGACATGTCATCTGAATGAATAAACCCAATTATTTTTGTTTGCAGATTATTACTATTCTTTTAATTATTTTTCAGTATCTTGTATTCTCATGAGTATGCTCTTTAACTTGCTCATTTAAAATAATAACAAAGTGGTACTAACTTTGAAATAGGATTCTTGTGGTAATCATTCAAAAACTTACACATCTGTCACAGAAGAAGGAACATTCTCTTCTACCCACTTCAAATCATCTTCCTGCTGGGAACACACAAATTTTAGCTAGTCGTTACTAAAATGCACCATGTAACACATCTCAAGTAAGGACATAAAGGTCTTAAATCTTGTCTTTCGTAATTCTGTAGTAGTACATTCACAAATGGGACTGCTGATAGAAAAGTCAAATATTTTAATTTTTAAAAACTTAAAAAAAAAAAACCCTTTGACCAACATCTCCCCAATTCTCCCACAGCCCTTGGTAACCACCACTCAACCCTCTGGTTCTAGAATTTCAACTTTTTTAGGTTCGACATAAGTGAGATCATGTGGTATTTGTCTTTCTGTGCCTGGCTTACTTTGCTTAACACAGTATCTTCTAGGCTTCTTCGCACTGTCGTGAATGACAAGATTTCCTTCTCTTCTGTGTCTAAATAGTATTCCACTGTATATCTAAATACACCACATTTTCCTTATCCATTCATCTATTGATGGACATGCAGGTTGATTCTGTATCTTGGCTACTGTGAATAATGCTGCAATGAACATGAGAGTGGAGTGCAAGTTATCCGTGACATAGTGATTTCATTTCCTTTAGATATATACCCAATAACATAAATGCTGTCATAAGGTAGTTCTATTTTTAATTTTGAGGAACCTCCATACTATTTTCCGTAATGGCTATACAAACTTACATTCCTATCAACAGTGTACGAGGGTTCCCTTTTCTTACATAACCTTACCAACACTTGTTATTTCTTCTTTTTGATAAATGCCATTCAGGGCCGGGCGCAGGGACTCACGCCTGTAATCCCAGCACTTTGGGAGGCAGAGGCGGGAGGATCACGAGGTCAAGAGATCGAGACCATCCTGGCCAACATGGAGAAACCCCGTCTCTACTAAAAAAATACAAAAATTAGCTGGGCCTGGTGGCACGTGCCTATAATCCCAGCTACTCAGGAGGCTGAGGCAGGAGAATTGCTTGAACCTGGGAGGCGTAGGTTGCAGTGAGCCAAGATTGTGTCACTGCACTCCAGCCTGACGCCTGGCAACACAGCAAGACTCTGTCTGAAAAAAAAAAATGGTGTGAGGTGTTTTCATTTGCATTTCCCTAATGATTAGTAATGACGAAAATATTTTCATATACTTACTGGCCGTTTGTAGGTCATATGTTAAGAAATGTATATTCAGGTCCTTTGCCCATTTTTAAACTGAGTTATTTGTTTTCTTGCTATTGAGTTGAGTTCCTTATATAAACTGGATATTAACCCCTTAACAGACGCAAGGTTTGCAAATGTTTTCTCCCATTCTGTAGGTTGTCTTTTCACTCTGTTAATTGTTTCCTTTGCTGTGCAGAAGTTTTATAGTTTGATGTACTCTCACTTCTCTATTTTTGCTTTGTTTCCTTTGCTTTTGGGGTCATATACAAAAAATCACTGCCAAGACCAATGTCATGAAGCTTTCCTCCTATTTTCTTCTAGTAGTTCTACTGAGGGCTGGAAGATGAGGCAAAGAACAAAGAATAATGGAAAAGTCATACTTACTGCTTTGCTAACTTTACTATTTCCATTGGGTTCTTGTTTGGTACTTCTCATTTTCATTCCTTCTGTAGTAGAAAATAAATGTACACTGGTTAACTTTGTGAACAGACCAACAATGACTGCAAAATGGATCCAGAACTTTTTTTTTCTTTTTTTAAATTAAAAGCCCCGAGGTTACATCTTTATCATAGTTTTATTTTAGAGCTTGCTAACACTTGTGAAGTATACAACAGATGTTTCTCCATCTTTACATGTACGCTAGAAATTTCAAAGCAAAATTTTTAGCTCACTTCTAGCAAGTAAAATAGATACTTAATGTGCAATTACTTACTAAATTTACCATGGCTTCATCTTAAGATTCACACCCTTATTTTCTTTACCCTAACTTCATCCCATACTAAATATGGGAACAATACAGTTATAAAATAAGTAATGTACTTATATAAAAAGATATTTAAAGTACTAATAAAAGGTGAATTTTATCACTACCAAAGCTTTCTTTCAGCATAGGTTCCTTTTGTTCATCCTCCTCCTCTTCCTCAGACAATGGTGAAAAGGCAAACCTAACAGAACCAAAGTAGAACAGAAGGAAAAAATTAGTGAACTTCAAGAACTGCCATACTATTTGCATTTTACAAAACTAATTATTGACACTGCAATTACAGTAATTAATTAAATCAGTTTAATAATAAAATTTCTTCCCTGTCTGAAAGCTCTTAATTGCCTATATTAGCAAGAGAGAAGCAGGACAGTATCATTGTATTTATGAGTGCACATTGAGCTAGAACACTACCTTTGACATTAGACTAGTTACTTAATCTGCCTGTACCCAGTTCCCTAATCTGTAAATAAGGGGATAATAAAACATTACTCATAGGGGTGCTTTGTAAAAAAGTAAGTCATTATAAATAAGGTGCTTAGAACAATATCTGTTACATTTAGCAGGCATTCAACAAATGTTCATTCTTATGTATCAAACAGAGTTAGGTAAATTCTCATCTAATTTAAAATCGCAGCCTTCAAACTGGGTGTTAAGAGAAGGGAGGCCTATTCCAGGTAATTAAAAATTTCAGTTTACAAGTGGGGAGCTCAGAAGACGAAGGCCTGATCTGGTGTATCTCAGAAGCCTTTCCTTAACAATTTCCAAGAGATTCAGCAAAGCAGACAGGTAATTCCTGGAATGCTTTAGCTTTGACCTCACTCTATACTGCCCATTTTATTGTTGCCTACTATTTTCATTCTACCTTGTTTTTAAATTTCCCTTATATGATCAAAATTCTTAATAAACTAGGAATAGAAGGGAACATATATAAATTGTTAAAGGGTAACAAATTCCATGGTAAATATCATAGTTGATGATATATGAGAAGCATTTGATGTCAGAGTAAAAATGATAAGGCCCATTGTCATTGACTCTATTCACTATTATACACAAGGGCTTAGCCAAACTAATAACATACGAATCAAACAGACGCAGGAAGATTATATGGCAAGAAAGGAAGAACATAATGATTACTTTAGACAAAAACCTATCTGAAGAGAAAGTGTGGAAGTTATCAGAACAATATAGCAACAGGAAGGTTGCAGGGTATGATATATATCAGAGAGGCTGGGGCTGGGCGCAGTGGCTCATGCCTGTAATCCCAACACTCTGGGAGGCCGAGGTGGGTGGATCACGAGGTCAAGAGACCGAGACCATCCTGGCCAACATGGTGAAACCCTGTCTCTACTAAAAACATGAAAAATTAGCCAGGCGTGGTGGCACATGCCTGTAATTCCAGCTACTTGGGAGGCTGAGACATGAGAATCGCTTGAACCAAGGAGGCGGAGGTTGTGGTGAGCCGAGAATGCCCCATTGCACTCCAGCCTGGGCAGTAGGAGTGAAACTCCGTCTCAATTAAAAAAAAAAAAAA